AGCCGTACGAGCACGACTCACTACGTTCATTAGATACTTAGAGGAATCTACGGAGGAATAAGGCTAGGTTACGTGATATACCCTATTGGCCCTATTAGCTCTGCTGGCCCTATTGGCATAGAGCGCATAGAGCGTATAGAGCGCAATAGAGCGCAAACATTATATATATATCTTTATTACCCTAGGTAGTTACACTCTCTTCGTAGCTAACTTATGTTATCTACTAGACTATATAGTTCTTAGTAATAGAGAACCCTACTCATACCTTATATCTTCCCTAACTAGCTCATACTATATTAGGATTATTACTAAGAACTCTAACCTAGTTAGGATTAGTAGGAATCCTTAATATATATATAGACTAGCTCGTCATAGGCCGCGTATATACGTTTTCATCGAGTAGCGATTTCTACTATTTCTACGATTCCTACTATTTAGACCATAGAACCATTAGTTACAATATCTTCTTCTCTCTCGACGCCGCCTCATAAGCGACTATCGCGCGACTAACGTCGAGATATCTCATTAATGCGCCGACTCGGCCATTTCTATGAATATATCGTCTCTTTTTTAAAGATTTTATAGCGCGCCGTACAGTATACCTATTAAAAGTAAAAAGCTACTCCATAATACTTAAATGTAGGTCGACCTCTACGACTTTCTAAAGAAGAAGCGAATTAAGTTAAAGAGTTTATTACTCGCTTAAAAGCTACTAAAAGAATGATATATTTATAAGTGGTAGAGACTCTATGGCCTAAGGGAGAAGTTAGTGCTGAATCGATTCGATATACGCTTTATTAACGGGGCTATCGTCGACGATTAGCTCTACGAAAGCCACTAATATTAGAGATAAATCGAATTACACGACTTAAATGAATAAAAGAGTATATTCATTAGACATTAGAGTAATGGAATTAAGTTCTTTGGAGCGATGAAACGTAAGTGACTGGCCATAAATAACGACGAACTCTCGTTATACGTAAAGTTAGCGAAGAACTTAATCCTACTGTAATGGGAGAAGTTAGAAGTGATGAATAGCGTTATAATTAGCTAGGGCGCCGACCCTAGACTATGGTTCTTCTTATATAGTTCTAGGGGGACTATCTTTTATATAAGAGACAATTAACTAAGTTACTAATAGAGAGGACTTCCTCTAGTTAAGTATGCGCGTTAAGAAGAGACTATACTCACCGCCGTATAAGTTAATACTTATAGCTAGTAGTCTCGCCCTAGTTTAGTAATGCCACTAATAAAATCTTCGATGAATACTTATAGATGAGTATCTCTCTATGAGCGATGAGAGAAAATTATAAAAAATAACTAAAATAAACTACTTACTAAATTAATAGAACTAAAGAATTATCTACCTATCTATTTAACTAAATCTAAAGAAACTAGCTATATATATAGAATCGCTACGTAGAGTATACTATTTAGATCTCTAACTAAGTAAGTCTATCCCGCTATACGGAGCGATTTACGCTAGCTATTTATAAAGATCGCTACTCGAAGTATCTTTTAAGATTATTAACTATATATATTTACTATTACTATATAGAGTAAAGACTAACGACTTAACGACTATTTAGACTATCTAGAAGAAATAAGAGTAAAATATCTTCCGGAAATATAGGAATACGTTTAACTCTAAAAACTTCTAATTTAAAAAGCTTAGAAGAAGTTAAAGAACGTAGATTTACTTAAGAAATAATAAAAATAAGTAGTTAAACTAAACTCACTAAAATAAGCGAAGTTAGAGCGCTACTAACCGCGAAATAAATCTAAGATTTTAATGAAAAATATTAGTGAAGATAAGAAAAAAGCTTAATAAGAAAGTCGGTGAAGAGATAAAGAGAAGAAGAGAAGAAATAATAATAAAATAATAATAAAAATATTAAAAAATAATAAAATATCTAGATCTTTTAGTTTCGTTATTAAGATTTTATATTATTTCGATTATAAAAGAAGAAGTAAAAATAATTTAATAAAGAAAAATATCGTCTACGAAAGAATTAAATAATAAAGAAAAGCTAGAGTCTTCTATAATATTAAGTATTAGTTTATAAGATCTATCGACGTTAAATTCAACGATATAATCGTTATATATTTCTTCTATTATAATATTAATAAAGAAAATATTTTAGAGCTTAAACGAAAGTAATAATCTTCTATACTTTAATAAAAAGAACGCTATCTTTTTCTTTAAGAAGTTTAAAGAACTATATAAATATAATTAGATTATATTAAGTAAAGAACGTATTCATAGATCTATTCACTTTATATTTAAAGTAGAAAAAGAACGCTATAAAGAGCTTACTAAGTATAACGTAATAAAGTAAGAGAAGTTTAAAGAGAAGATCTTAAATAAATATAAAGATCGAAACGAAGTATAGTAAATAATAAATATTTAATATCTTTAGATACTCGCGAAGCATCGATAAAAGAAGTCTTAAAGTTTAGAGTTATATCTTCGTTAATTTCGTAAGACTATAACTTATCTAATTAAAATTAAAGTTAAGATTAACTATACTTACTATCGTCTTCTTTTATTAAAATTATTAAAAACTTATATAGATAAGATTTAAAAGAAATAGAATTTAATAAATCGAAAGTTAAAGAATTTAAATTTTTAGAAATACTAGAATTAAATAAAAGAACTATAGAATATTAATAATAAAAATAAGAAATTTACGTAAGAAGTACTTAATGAGAAGTTCTAAGAACTAGTGTACGAAAGAAAGACTTAATTCTTAGTCGTTCGAAAGAAAGAATCGTAAGAATAATGTCGTCGTAACGATCGTACGGATAGTAAAACGAAGTTCAATAGAAATACTTCGTCGCTAATAAATCGATCTTTTACTTCTAAGAGAAATAATTAATCGATGAAGAAATTATTTCGTTTAATAGAAGTACTAATACTATCGATTTAAACGCGAGACGCTATTACTCTAGACTTTATAACTCGACTAATTAAGATATTAAAGAGTATTTCTTAGAAAGTAATCTAGTTCTTACGCGGCTAGTAATTCTAGAATCGTTTAGTTTAATTTAAAAAAAAGTTATAGTACTACAATAGATAGTTTAGTCGACGAAGTTTAAACTTAAGTAATTCTTAAGAAAATTACTTTCTTTATAATTAGTCGAAATACGTACTACGAGATAACTCTTAGTAAGTATACTAAAAAATAATAAGAGCGTTATATCTTAATTTAAAATATAGAATCGCTCTTAGAAAGTTCCGAGATTAAGATCATTCTTTATCTACTCTACTAATTCTTACGAGAGAGATAAAGATAGAAAGATTAGAATAAGTTACGTAAGAGATTAATAAAAATTTAGAAGTTATATTCGAATAATTTTATAATATATAAGACTTTAATTTTACGTTACTAAAAGCGAGATTAAGTATTATTTACGTAGCTAAATCGAGATCTAATTACGCTACTCTAAACGACTTTAAAGATAATTTCCGTATCTCGAATACTATAGATCTAAAAGAAATTTATATAGATTAGCCCTAAAATAAAGCTTACGTAAATACTCTAGAAAAGCGCTTAGCCTCTTAATAAGATAAATATATATAAGCGAAATACTCTCGAATTAGAGCTTACGAATCTTCGATAGAAGAATTAAGACGATATATAACGCGACGAGCGAGATTTAATAAAGAAATTATATATAACGGAATCGTAAATAATTCGCTAGATTCGATTAGCTTAACTAATTAGAGATTAAGAATTTCTCTATATAATATATAGAATAAGCGATTATATAATCTAATCTTTTAGAATACTATAATAGAAGATTCACTAGAGCTTTCTTAATCTCATTAGATATTATTACGTTCTCGAACTATAAAAGAGACTACGTACGAATCGTCTAGACCTAGGCCTCTTTAAAAGATATTATTATAGAATCTAAATAGTACTAAAAAGATTATAAATTATCTATTAAATTAAGAGATCTTAATTTAAATAAAGAACTTACTATCGATAAAAAAGATTCAAAATAAGTAGTTCTTTCGTAAACATTAATATTACGACGAAGATAAGTAAGAGTCTATTCATTAGAGCTATATTTCGAGAGATAGCGACGTAAGACTTACGTAAGCGAAAGAGAAACCTATTACTAAAGTCGGTACGATGTAAATAAATCTATTAGTGAATTATTCGATTCGTCTAAGACTATACTATAGTAAGTATCTTTATCTATTTATAAAGATAAGAGACCGATATAAAGACTTCTTACTAAATACTAAAGTTAAGATTAATTTAATAACTCTCGCTTTAGTTAAAGAGATGAGACTATTTTAATATATACGAAAAACTAAGTTTATCTACGACATTATAGACTTTAACGACGACTAAGAAAAGTTTATAAAAATAATTAAAGATTTTATATTTAGTATCGCTAAGATCGAGATCTTAATAAATATCTATATAACGAGTAGAATATAGTTCGTGGTGAAAAAGGCTCGCCTTTTCGGCGACGTAGGGCGCCGCTTTTGCGAGTCCTCTACACCTGTGGCTTAGCTCTCTAGCCCCTCAGCCCCCTGAAGACCGACTTCTGGTGCGGCTTCGGCCGACCCCGCCTAGGCTCCCCCGGCTGGCCCCCCCCCCCCCCCCCCCCATTTTAGTTCTTTCCCACTTCGTCTCTCGTTTTCTCGTCAGCAACTTCCCTTCTCTCTCTCCACTCTCGTCCCAGTGCCCGCTACGTGCAGATAGTCACGCCGGCCAGCAGTCAGGAATCCACCAGTAAACCATCATGGATTCGCCTGTCGTCCCAGTCCTCCCTTTTAGAGAGGTTCTTGATGTCGTTCTCCCTCTTCTCTCTCTCTTCTACGCGGCTTCGACGCGAACAGCTCTCCGTCAACCTTGGCTCAGCGGATACAGGGAATCGACCGACCGGTCTATCCCAGGGCCCGCGAGGCCCTCACATTTTTCGTTATTCCAGTTCTCGCCAGGCGCTGCGGCCCTCATTCCTCTCCTGCGACCCTGGCGATGGAGGCCGGAACGGACTCGAGCGAAGGCTGGGGTGAATCGGAACCCGCTACGGACGTGGAGCCGCTATTCAGTGACGATACCATCACAGACTCGGCGTCTGAGGTCAACTCGCTCCTGGAGAGCGATAGGCGATCCCGTTCAGAGGAGGACCATCTCCTCGAGAGGGTCGCCTTCCACAAATCTCAAGGTCGAGCTCGGTCACGACGGAAGCCATGGTCTCAGTCGCTGGTGGAACGAGAACTCGACTTCTGGCGGCAGTACGTCTTCCTAAATGCCCTCTCCTCTAACCAGTAAACTACCTCCCCCTTTTTGATTTCTGCGTCCCAATTCTGACCCGATGATCCGCTGTAGATTCTGTGAGAAAATTAAACGCGAGCCCGTCGAGTGCCTAACAGCCTGCGAGGCCGAGACCATCAAGGCCTACCTAGAATGGCGGGTGAAAAATTTCCGGGTGAAAAAGGAGAGCACCATGAAGAGTTATTGGAAGCGGATAAGCTGCGCATACATTGACACCGCCGGCCGCAGGATGGACAACGGCACAGAATTGGATATTCGAGACGTAGGCCAATGCAGCCTCTGATGGAGGGTGAGAAACTGTCGGCTGACAAGCGCTCCTAGTGGATTCCCACGTACTTGACGCCGACGTACGGACTGGAGACGTCCGAAAAGGAGAAGCGCGCCATGTTCGTCCAGGAATTCTACGTGTTCGAGTATGCGCACTGGGTCGAAGATAGGCGGCCTCTCCATGGTCTGATACGGGTAGAGATCTGGGCGCTGCAACTGCTCAGCGGGGCCACTGCGTGTCGTCCGGGAGCACTGGTGGTGAGTGGCAGTGCGAAAGGAACAAACAAAGCGGTGTGGTTCGAGCACGTTGAGATTCTCAAGATCCGACACCCCGAAAATCCGAGTTGCACGGTGTTGGCCGCGAAGGTGAACCTCGTCCACATTAAGGATTCTGGTGGACAAGGAAGACGGTGTGTTCCCGAAGACTTGCTTCCTTTGTCTTTTACTTTACGGCCCGCTTCCTTGCCTCCCTCACTCTTCTAACTGAATTGGCGATGACAGGAAGAAGTTCGTCTTCTACGAGGAGCCGACGTACGCGTTCTGTCTCGTCTACGCGCTCGTCGCAGTGGCCTTCGCCCACGCCGCCTTCAGGCGACCCTTCAAGTCGGTACAGGAACTATTGAGCCTGACGGTACCTCCCAGCCGTCACGTGCTCCGCTTAAAGTTCAAGCGCGAGATTCTCAAAACGCCCTTTTTCAGGGATGTGGAGTGGACGGACACGGGCTACCGCTTATCTGACAGCAAGGCCTTCCCCTATCATAAGTACCGCGACCACCACGTCCATCTCTGCCGTTTGGTGGGGAAGGAAGAGCTAGGAGAACTTTACGATTTACGTCGCGGGTCGGGGCGGAACATACATCGTGAGTTTCTCCCGCCTTTCCAAGGCTTACTTCGATCCCCGATTGCTCACTGCAGACCCTTCTGCATAGATGCCCTGATCGCCGAAGAGGCAGATCAAGTTATGGGCCACCACGGCGACACATACCGGCGATTCTACCTCCCTGACCTCATCGAGCGCGACTTCTCGTCGATCTACTTTGGCACGCCGCCACAGGACGAACTCGTCCGCGCCATAGCGCGTATGAGCCTAACTTGGGACAAGCGGGCACCGACAGATTTAAGCCCACAGCAAAAACAGGAGGTGCGCAATCATCCGGAGCTAGTCCGACTTCGCCGCCGACGCGACCGTTACCGACAGAAGCTGAGTCGGCTCGGTTTCCATCCCCTTCGAAGGGCGGCCGGCCATCCCGACTATATTCGGTATAAGGCGGCGGAACGGAAGATCAACACCATGACGACCACCCTGAAGAATAAACGCCTCGACGAGGAGATTCGCCTCTTTCACGACACCATCGACGATCTAGAAATTGACCGTCAGCTGGACGGACGACCAGTGGCCGAACCGTACACTCCACGCGTCATGGAATTCGAGTCGCCCGAGCGGGCCCTCATAGCTAAGTTCATCTCTCTGTCGCTTGATGACTCTGCGGATGGCGAGGCGTTGGGCGGCAAGGCCGCTTTTATCGACGCCCTGGTTAACCTCTGCCACCAGCAAGAAGGTCGGCGGTATCCTGGAGAGTATGACTACCTCGTGAACCCCATGGATGTGGATAGCCGGTCACTCACGGGCCTCGACTTAGCGGCGCAGCCAGCCTGCCGGCGAGTTCAAGTGGACAGTACGAAAGGAGAACGAGAAGCGATGCGGCAGCACCAGGATTCTATGGGCCTCGTGGATGGTGAGGAGGCACAAGTTTCCCGAGAACATGTCTGCCTCCTCTGCGGGAAGGCGTTTAAGCGAAAATTCACGCTCAACCGGCATCTCGACATTCACGTTAAGGCAGGTCGCTTTACGGAGCCCTTTCAGTGTCGGGTGGCGGGCTGCACGACATGGTTGAAGGGCGAGGCGCACTACAAGAATCACTGTGCGACAGCACACGACGTTTTCCATTGAGTCGTTACGTTCTTCAGCCTTATGAGAAAGAAGCATTGCGGTACCAGGAGCTCCTGGCTCTTAGACGCCGTGGAGGACGCGGTGGCGTGAAGGCTGCAACGTTGCATGAGTATTGACGTCAGGAGCATGGTTCGAGTGCGAGTTCGGGGGACTTGCATCGATGAGGGACGGCCACTCTTCCACTGTATCATCAGAATCAGGTAGCTGGGTTGTTTCTAAAGAATCTGCCGATCCTGTAACTCGCTCCCACTCCATTCAATTCGAAGCAAAAGAAGCGAATTTTGCGGTGAAGGTATATCTTCGGCGGTGGCCGTGGCACGACCTATCGTGCCGCGTGAGGACTGGATCTGCCTTGTATTGAAACTTCCCTTTCGACGCCCGACCCGAGATTGACTTTTACTAATTTGTATCCCAGCCTAACACATAACCATCAAAACCCTGCCAGCGACATTATGCGATCATTCCTCTATCTAGTGTTCTTTCGTCCCTCACCGCCTATAGGAGGACGATTCTCGGGCTTACGTCCCATCTCTCTCACATTTACGGACGGACGGCAAAGTCAGTTGTCCCCTCAATCATTTTGCTCCCTTGTCTATCTTCGAGTGTCCTACCAGACCCGCGCTGTCGAATTTCCTCCTGTTCAACTAATTCAATGTCACCAGAGTCGAGTTTTCAACTCCCCCACAGCCCGAGCACGACCTTCGGAGTGGTCTGTCGTCAAATCATCCACGCCTTAACGACGACTGAACATCACATCCCACTGTGCATCGCTTACTGCTGGTTAACATAGGACATCATCGTCCACGGTCTCGATCAGCTTCAGCTTTCTCTACGCGGGAACTCGGGCCTCCTCACCTGTTCACATCATCACTACGAGTAACTGGCTTCTCCCGGACATTCCTCCATCCGATCGAGTGGCTGCGGCACTTACTAGCCATTTTCTGCGATGGACGGTGGCGTCCAGCAGTCTCAACCCAACCCGTGCTGAATCCCCAATACATAAAACCCTCAACGGCGCAGACCTTAGTGAAGCCACCAGCCTGACACACCTGAAACAAGTATTTCATCACATACCAGAAGAGCAGGGGGACAAGATTTTTGCAGACATTGAGGAGATGATCAAGAAAAACAAAGCGATTTCGAAAACAGCTCAGGAACATGTGATTTGGCGCTGCGAAAAAAAGATAAACGGACCGCATCATCTCACAATTGAGAAGAAACTATCCAGACGTCTTCACACCCCCGGCTGACGCCGATCAGGGACGACACAAATACCTTGAAAAGGTGCCATGGTATTTTCTCCACTACTAAAACGCTCGCACGGAAAACCGAAGCCGAAATGATGCCAATCCGGAGGGTCGTACGGAGCAAGACTCAGGTGCTGGGATCGGAGAAGGACAAGAATCACCTCGACTGCCTGACGTGCCCGACTCTCGTCCAGACTCGGGCTCTCAAGCGGGATCGTGTCGTTCAATCTTGCATAGTCCGTCACTCGGGAGACAGCGGTCGCCGACCCGATTCAGCGGATCGAAGCGGGCGAGTGGCGATGACGTTGAGGAACTTGAATCGCCAGAAGAGAGGTATGCTAAGGGCAAAGGCAATCCCCCAGGCTCGGTTTTTTTTTCAGCAGACTTCACTACGACACGAGACGAGTTGCTCTGCCCCGAACTTCTGGGATGGAGAATGAACCAATGTCGTCGCGGATCATCAGGGCACGCAAAAAGGGCTGTGTCAAGTCGAAGCGGATGGCATATGGACATCAACGAACCCACTCCCTCAAGCCATCGTACTTCAGCCGTCAAAGGACGGGCCCGGCGCGTAACATTTAAACGCACAGCGACTTGAATCTTACGTTTGTCCTCCCGGACGGAGAGAACATAACTTTTCCTACTCCAGCCAGACAATGTACTCAGCTATGGCATCAGCTCGACGGGATTACTTGCGAGTATCTGTCCTATACCTTGATGATCGGCCGACTGGCGAACGTTCCTCTCTCCCGACGCAAAGTGGTATGAATGTGTTGCGGTCGGTCGAAAACGAGAGTCGAAAATCGACCTCTACTGCAATCGAGGACCAGTCCTCTAAAGGACGAATCAACAGACTGCATGCTTTACTTAAATCTGACAACGAAGAGAAGGAGCCTTTAATGCATGCACCCACGCGACAGCTGCACGGAATTGTGCCTCCGTCATATCTTCCACATCTGGCAGTCCTCTCTGCGTCGGATAACCGGTCCATTCCTCCAGCTCAACATCGTACTCGCTCCACCACCTTGAAGCAGTATTTGCACAAATGGTGAGCACTTCTCTCAGCGACAAGAGCTCTTGGTAGGTAGTATCGTCGTTGAAACTGCTAGTCCTGATCTGCTCTAGCGATTTACGTATCTGCTGACGTTCCTTGCTGAGATGTGACGATTCTTGTTGCTCTTGCGTCGAGAGGCCACTCCTACCAAAGTACGGCTGTAGGAGCATCCATGCACGAGCTTCGTCGCTCTTCAACTCCTGAAACGTTGCTGGATCAGAAAGGTTGTTCAGCAGATATTCATCAATCTGTTGGTCGAGCGGATCAACGGCATTCCACATCAAATAGAAGCTGTCCCAATCTAAACCGCCTGTGCACCTGACGACAGCAGTCCTGCATGTGGTACATATACGCAAATTTGTTGGAAAGTTGCAGACTTGTTGCAGCCGCGTACAATGTTCACAGTCCTGCGCAAATCTGTCCAACTCCAGATCTGCCAGGGCATGCGCCATGTCCTCCTTCTCTCGAAGCTTCTTCTGGATCAATTCACCCATGATTTCGTATTTTTTCTTGTCATCTTCGACATCTTTCGATTGAGACCTCCCCTGTTTTTGCAATTGTGAGAGAAAGAGTCTGTCTGCGTCACTGCTCGCTTGGTTTAAAGCGTATTTGTGTTGCACAAATACTTCTTGCGTGCTCTTCAATTTGATTACTTTGTCGTTGAGGACGATTCGGAGGTGTTCGGCATCGGACCGTAGAGTTCTCAGCTCTCTTATCTTGTCCATGAGTTCATCGAGGTTGATTGGCGGCCAACAGGTATGACCACTCTCGGTGCAGGCGACGCATCGATCCCAAGCATCGTAGAAATATTCCTTTTCTTGCGCAACGCATTGCTCACATGCTTTCATACTGTCAAATAATTGTAGAAGAAACGCAGACCTGGTGAATCGTGGGAAGAATCGTGGGAAGAATCGTGGGGCAGTACACGACGAGGGGGAAATCATGCACCCAAGCTGACGAGTGATGGCAGCTTCGATTGCATATATAAGACCGCTTGGACAGGTCGAACTTGCTTACGGGAGTTCAAATGTCAATCATGGATCCAGTCAAGCGACGTTGGCAGTGACAGAATCGGGTCAAAAACAGAGGAACACGTGATAACCGCATTAAGGATTGGGTTGAGCGCCTGAAAGTTGTGCGGGGCCGCGATGTGCCCCGCGATATGCATGGTAGCCCGCCCAGGATTTTGACAAACGCACCTTAACTAGACAAGATAAATCTCGTCGCACAAGATCGATCCCAAATATCGAGCCAAAAAGTAAAGTGAAATTTGCATGACCTCGGCTTCGGCTGATTAGTCAGGACATTGATTCGTTGCCGCTTTTCAATATCCATTTTCCGGTTCAAAGGGATCAAACGCAGGGTAATCCATATTGTCATGTAAGCTCATGTATTCGGTCGAAATAGAGTTCATACTGATTGGCCTTTGACCTAAGCCACGCTTAAGCGTGTTTAGCCTAGACTAGTGGGACTACCTAATAAATATGGGGCTCAAATAATTGAGTGTCTCTGTAAAGATGAAGGAAGGGAAGGATGGACGAAACTGAACGCGTAGCGACGCGTAAATCTCTACGAAATTCCAACAAGACGTTGAAGGCGAGCCAGTTCGACCGAGAACGCGCAGAAAACGCGTGGGACAGCGGCGACGATGTCATTGAAGTGGAACCGGCGCTTCCCCGCACACCGCGGCCAAACCGCGTGCGAGGAAAGTCTAACTGCACAACGACAACAGCAACGGCGACAGCAGCTTTGGACAACACGAGCAGCGAAGCATACATAAACGGACAGGGCTGGATCTCGACTACCAACCTCAGCAGGGCCGAAGACTTGAGAAGCAACAATGGCGCCACGAACCAGATCATCGCTGAACTGCGCACCAACAACCACCAACTCAAGACGAACAATGAACAGTTGCAGAAAGAGATGGCGGAGCTCAGGGCATTCACCAAAGACCTGATGGGAGAGCTCACATCGATCAAGACTCAGCTCGGCGAGATGACCAGAGAATTGGCAACCGTAACAAGGACAGCCAGCTCTCTCCAGCAGTTGGTCACAATAGCGCAGAACTCTACACGCTCATCAGCCTCAGGCTCGGACAACTCCTCGATACGAACCTACGCATCGGTGCTGGCGAACTCGGTCAGTCCGTCGTCGTCAGCAAGCAAACATCGTACCTCGAGCGACCTTAACCAGCCGCGAAGCCCCGCTCATAGGGTGACAGTGGACACGCGACGAGTTAGGGACAAAAATAAGATGGCAGATGCCACCGAGATGGAGAGGAATATCCGACAGAAAATCCAGGTGATACCCGAAATCGCAGACATTGCAGTCACTGGCATTCAGATCCGAGGTCACCACGTGAAGGTTCTCACCCGCACCGAGGAAGACGCCGCACTCCTCCGCACACATGATTAATGGGTTAACCACGCATTTGAAGGCGCGCGTACGAGAGGTGAAGACTGGTATCCTGTTAAGATCGACGATGTGGTCAGATCTGCAGTGGTGCAGGAAGACGGACGCACCGTCCGAGATGACTTCGCAGAGGCGTTTTGTGTTGCCAATGAACTCACCGGGGTCAAGAAGGCATTCTGGCTTTCCAAAGGTGATCGCATAGCGGGGTCAATGGTGGTTTACCTAGCCAGCCCGACCGAAGCTCAGATGATCCTGGATCAGCGGACAGTCAAGATCGGAGGACAAATCGCTTTTGCTTAAGAATTCCACAAGATGCCACGACCAATCAGATGCTATAATTGCAATTAGTATGGACACTACCAGCTTCGCTGTAGCCTCGAGACAACGTGTGGTCATTGTGCACAAAACCACCGAACGGACTCTTGTACATCTGGAGAGAAGAAGTGCCCAGCATGCGGCGACGCCTATGCCGTTACCGATCCGGGGTGCCCGGCGTATAAGCGCGAGAAAGCCCGCGTACAGCAAAGCGGGGACCGGTAAAGAGGACTGAGTAGGACTACGCAGCGACATGCTTAAGCACACCGGTATAATGCAAGCGAATCTCGGTCGAGGAAGTGTGGCGCAGCTGAGTCTGCTGAACGACGAAACGACAAGAGACCTGGCGTTGATGCTGGTCACTGAGCCGTGCATTTTCGATATTGACGGCAAGGCGATCGTATATGAACACGCGATGTGGGAGACAGTGCGACCCACCTAGGTGGAAAGTGATCGAGTGGTTAGATCTTTCCGCTCGATGATCTATGTCAACAAGAGGTGCCAGTTTCGGCAAGTCGAAGTCCCGTGTTCAGATATTGTGGCCGGTGTGGTGAAGCTCGGCTCGGTGGAGCTGATGGTGGTGTCGGTCTACGTGCCATGCACCACCGACGGATCCAGATCTCGGGCAGAGAATCGGGCAGAACTGCGACATCGTCTTAACCTCATCCGATCAGCGAAGGTGGACTTCGAACAACGATCCAGGAAACGGATTCATCTTTTGTGGGCGGTGACTTTAACCGCCACGATCAGAGCTGGGGTGGGGATGCCGTTGCCTCGACGGCCCGACAAGGCGAAGGAACACCAATCCTGACATAGATGGTAGAGTTGGGCTTGGATAGCCTCCTGCCACGGGGAACCAGTACATTAGAGCACGGTAGCCACGAGACCACCATTGACTTGGCTTTAATCTCCCAGGAATTGAAGGACGCAGTCCTCAAGTGCGACATCCACGAAGTGGAACACGGTTCGGATCACCGAGCCATTCGAACCACGTTTGATGTAAACGTAAGGATCCGCGACAGACCGCGACCCAGGCAAAACTTTCGAAAAACCGACTGGAATGCGGTGCGGCGAGAGTTCGCAACAAGGCAGCACCACACACCAGTGATTACCTCTGTACCGTGGCTGGACGTCGCGTTCAAGTCTGCCGCTCTCCGCCGGCCTCCCGAGACACGGATGAAGAGTCGACTGGAGCGGCCTTGGAAGACCGGTAAACACCTCCAATAGGTCGATGCGGCCCTGCCAGGTCCACATGTCCATAGGCTCTACGACACGCTCACCCGCCGAGAAGCCCAGGTACTGGCGCAACTGCGGATAGGTCATTCCAGACTGCGAGGCTTTCTAGCGAAATTGGGTCTCGAAGACAGCCCAGCGTGCGAATGTGGCGAGAAGGTGGAGATAATACGCCACTTCCTGCCTCATTGCCCTCGCTACCAAGATCTGCGATCAGAGATGATGGAAGCGGCAGGAGACCGGTACGGGGATATATCGTATATGCTCGGGGGGAGATCGTGGAATCGCCGCCCTAACGGCTCATGGGTCGACGGGCCGGCCGCGACATGGACACCTAACTTGAAGATCGTCCGGGCGGTAATCAGATATGCGATGGCAATAGGCAGGCTAAGTGCAATGTGCGGGAATGAAAATGAGGCTGGTGGTGGAAGGTCGAGATAGGGGCTATGGAACCCTAACTGGCAAGATAGTCAAGGTAGGTCAAGGTAAGTATTATGCTTGGAGTGGGCTGTTGAATGAGTGCATGAACCCCGAGTGGCAAGGGGAAACATTTAGGAATTAGCGAGTGGTGGGGCTACATAGACACCTGTTCTGCACAGCCAATGGAATAAACTACAACTACAACTGTAAAGATGAAGCCGCTACTGCAAACGTGTTTACTACCCGAACGGTAATCTCAATCAATATAGAGATCATATTTCACCTCGTTTAGTGATACAATGGGGCTCACAGATTATAGAGTCCATTATTGTGATCCACGCCAGAGAGATTATTCATTCAGATCTGAATCCCAAACAAATTATGCTCGACGAAAATTTCGACGCTCGACTTTCTGATTTTAATGCGTCGGCTTGTCTAGGGCAACCCGCCCTTGGGTACGAAAAGACAACTCATTTTCTTCCAAGAGATCTAAATGATCCAAACACAGTTCAGTCCGATTTGTTTGCGCTCGGTTCAACACTCTACGAACTCGCATATTGAAAGCACCGTATAGCGAACTATGCCTTCAGCGACCTACATCTCTTAATTGTTAGACACAGCCTTGGGAACGGCCGGTCACGAGCCGCGCAGGCACGACTCACCACGCTCATCGGACACATGGAAGGCTCTACAAGTGAACGAGGCTGAACCACGTGACATGCCCTGTTGGCCGTGCTGGCCTGTTGGCTCTGTAGTAGCAGAGCGCACAGAGCCAACAGAGCGCGCAGAGCATCAGCATTATATATACGCTCTCACCCCCTCAGATAGTTACACTCTCTTCGTGTCCAACTCATGTTATCTACTGGACTATACAGTTCTTAGTGACATTGTTCTGCTCATACCTTGCGTGATCTACAGCCAGCTCATGCTATACTAGGATTGTTACTGAGAACCCTAACCCAGTTGGGATCAGTGGTGATCCTTAACATTAATCCAGATGCCTACAAATCCTACTGGCAGATTAAAGAATACAAAAGCTTTTTAGCCAAAGATATTTCCAGATGTGTCAGGATCTTTCTGTGGTGTTACAATTGGGGGTTGCTGGGAAGGGAGATTTGCATCGGCTGAGGAAGTATTCCCATCATACAAAGGCGAAACAATTTTATCTGGAGAGAAGTATCAGACATAAATGATTGTATAGCTTTGAGAACGAGCGATATCAAGCTCAACTGTCACTACGATCCGATTCCTATTCCATGAACGTCATCTCCAAGCCTTAGGCGTCAATCCGAACAAAAGGCTCTCAAAGTGCACCGCCTATTACGAGCACTCAGGTCCCTGATCACGCAATGAGAACCAGCAGGATAGGCCTCAATGCCTATCTGCACAGCATCAACAAAGCCAGCAGTGACCGATGGCTCTTGCAATCAAGGGCCACAAACAGTACAACGTGTTCTGCTGAAATGCCTGGACGGTGGAGCGACAAGACATGTGGGCAGGCAGCAGACCAATACTGTAGTCAACCTTTGGTCAACGACCCATCAAATGATGCTAAAGACGGGACTTCTTGAACAGTTCAAGCAAGGTCGATCCAACAACGTTCGGATCCAGCTCTCGGCACACGTTCTAAGGACATTCACGAATTTCCACGACAACAGCATCGCGCTGAGTAGGTTAGATCACAGTAGACCACACAGATGTGGGTTTCCGTTAGCCACAGACGGAACAGACCCCTCCACACCCAAACTCAAGCTTACAGAGTGGCCACTTCGTAAGATTGGTATGGTATGCATCCCGTCGCTCTAGCTCTGCGGTGATTTATTTTGTCCCTTCTGCTGATCTCATAGAAAACGTAGTTGCATCCGAGGTAGACTTAGAGGTGAGCTTAAAACCTCGCCCATACCGTTCCCGAAAGTCTGAACTTGGCTTGTTCCCCACTCCATCATTTGGAACGGATGGTGAATCGCCACCCGAATGTGGTGCTTCATTTCCGGTATTCCGGATGCTAATGCTTGTCATATCCCGTGATAATTGTTGGATGGTGAGATCACTGAGATGGCCTCCGACCTGCCTCGTTCTCCACCCAAGCCCTCGATTTGTTCCATGTATAATATTTCCGTCGGTCGAAACCATAAATTGCACGGCGTCGCCCGTAGCGTAGTTGTCGATAGTACTGATGGTTTCCTTTAAGTGGTTGTCTGCCTTGGAGCAGATATCCCTACACTGGCGGGCCGTCTCCCATTCTTCCTGCAGCCTTGCTAAATCGGCGATATCATCCTCGGAAGTCATCGCTGTCTTCGATTTTGTCACTAGTCGGTCCATTAAATCTTGTATATGCCTTTCCAACTTTGCCGCCGTACGAATGAGGCTATTCTTACATTCCTCTAGGCCCACATTGGTGACTCTTTCAGGGAAGGTATTTGGATCAATTATTCCGGGGGAGCTGCTACTGCGCTTGGGCGTGAGCTGAATCTGATTAATATGGTCGGACAACTGGGCACAGATTTGCAGACATCTTTGCGTGCTTAATTGTTCCTCCTTTATGAGTCGTACTTCCGTTGCATCCGCGTCGGATTCTGTCATAGTTTGCTTAAAAATGATCTCCAGCTTTTCATCAATGCTTTCAAGATGTGCCTCGAGATCAGTAGTGGCAATCTGGATAAGATCTTTGTAACTTTCGAGGCTTTCGGCGGTGACGGAGGATTTGCGACTGATCAGGTGTAGGAAAAACAAGGTCAGAGCTGCGTGAACTCACACGGAATAACAGAGACTTACAGGTTTGCGTCGGTGAGGGCAATATTAATGGTCAACTTATACCCAGCCAATAACCGTCTGAAGCCATCGATGTCCTCGCCCATGTACCTCAACTTGGCCCAGTCTCTAAAGCTCGTCCGACTGCCACCGGACCGTGACGAACATTTCTTGATTTCCTGCTCAAACTCTTTGCAGGAATTGCCGCATCGTAGTAAAGGAAGATCGAGCGCAGAGAGGTCGACATCAGTGATGGTACCGACTGTTTCGGTGAGCGGCCCCAGAACACCGTTCAAAGCCTGAAGCTCCTCTAGGAGATCGCGTACACGGGCGGGATGAGATTGAAAACTCTGGACCGTGTTGTAAAGGGTGATGCTAGACTGGAAGGCGAAGGTAGCCAAAGCCAGCAGCCCTGAAGCCAAGCCTATGGGTTCTGCCATCGGGTAAATCAGTTCGATACAAGCTATGAGGCAACAAAGGAATGAGCAAGAAGTTTGGTGCTGAAGAAGGAGAGTCGGGGGATCGAGTTGCCGTTTAATATCTGTGCGGTGCAACTCATTGGTTATCGCTCCAAGGGGCTGGTTACGTCCAGGGCTATTGCGCTATTGATTTTTGGAACGCTTAGGCGTCGGAAAAGCGGCAAACTACGGGCCAAAACGGACGGACCGAGCGGCTATTGGCCTAGAAATATGTACTTACGCGCCAGAAAGATCTAATTATATCTCAGAAGATCGCGTGATGGGTCGTTAGCATTGTTGATTTTGTAAAACGATAGCCCTCGTTCTCTTGTGTACCGTCTTTACCGATCAATCAGGATCGAATGGAAGAACTTCGTACAATAATCGCATTGGCATTGGTTCTCACACCAACTATACGTTTCGCGGCTGCAAGAAAAATCGCTTTTCACCAAAAAGTCAACCCGCCAAACCACTGATTTGCTTTCTAAGTTCTTATCCTCCTTCGAAACCGCCTCTTGGAGCAGGAAAGAGTGCATTAATGAAGCTCAGGCCAAAAAAGAGAAAGGAGCTGCTTTGAGTCGGCATAGGCATCAGCACTCACCCAGACGGCCAGCTTCATTATGGAAGACCTCATATTCGGCGAGATGCGACAGCCCCAAGCGGCACTTCGAGCCTCTGGAGAATGGCTTCTCGCTGCTCGACCTACCAACTGAAGTGCGGTTGGAGATCTTGAGTTGCGAGACACTGACCGACGTTCTGGATCTGAGCCAGGTTAGTCTGACCGTCACCCTAAGGTACACAAGACCTTTTACTTGGGACAATCCCGAGCGGCCGGAATCGATACTCGGAGCTCTGTCGCTCCTGCGAAACCTAAAGTCTGCTAGGGTTCGTGGTATTGATCGGCATCATGCTGTCCAGCTCGAGGCGCTGATGACGAAGTGTCAGCGCATCGAGAACATCTGGAAAATGAAGGCAGCTTTCCAAGATTGGTGTGTATACTGGACTGGCGACCCGCAGACATGGCTGGGCGGGGACGCGCCAGATGCTGTGTACGCTTGCGATGTTGAAAGATTTAAACAATGTCGATTAGAGATCATTCGTGGGCAGCATGCTGAAGACCACTTCAGCATTTCGAATGTCTTCCAATATGATCTGGACCCGACCCAGGAACCCACTGCCCGAGCGCTTCGCTGCGGAAATTCTGGAAGTTGATTTAATGCCGTGGCCTCTAACATATACACCGAGTTCCAAACCCAAAGAAAAGTCCCGGTGATACCAAAGTTCCCCGCCAAGCAGCGCTGCATATGGCATCCATCCAACATCCAACATATTCTTCAGATCGCTACAGCCTATGCGCCGGGTTGTGTTGGAGACAGCTAATCATTGGTCGATAGAACCCTATTGATGTCGACATAGGCAATGAACTTCAGGCTTGTCCGGTCTATCTGTGACACTTGTCAATGTCTGATGCGGGGGCCAGGATAGCTACTAATGCGAGTGGGAACAACAAATGTGAACGCATCCAATTCAGTCAGTCCAGGAGTCGAAGGTGATTAAATACCTTTGTACTGATACGTCTTGGAATCTCAACTATGCGTGGTCGGTCAGGACAGTTGGACATTGAGCCCCATAGGAACTTACACTTCGTACGTCTCCTTTGACTTCCAACTTCGAAGCTCGGGCTATCGGCATCCAGCTCTCCGGGGAGCAGTTTGATTTGCTTGAGGGCTTAGATATCGGCGGTATTGGTTCTCTTTAAGAGATCAGCAGCTGCGATGGATTGGAGGTGATGAATGAACGAAATTGAAAAATTATCGGATGTCGTTTCCTCCAGAAGAATCTCTAGCCTTTTTAATACTCATTAGGCTGGGTCAGTGATATATGTACGGTACATACATGGGCATCTCCTCACACGTGGTACGCTCTCAAGGGAACTACTTATACCCGCCTGGCCAAAGTCTTAAGATACGTCCCAAGCTTTCAGTACACCTACTGCTATATACCTATCTGTTGCACCTAACCACCTTCATCTTAACATGCCAACACACTCTGATATCGGGGTCCTATTTTAGTCATGTAAAAGTTGCGGTCCATGATCGTGATCGTGGCAACTACATGTACTAGTTAACGCCTATGTTGCGGCTGCCGTGCGAGTTCCTGGACTCATGCCAGATCCTGGTCAGCAGCTCATGTGAGTTGCTGTCAGTGTACTCGTCCATTTTCAGGATTGAGACGGGGCCCACCATAACGCGCTCGTAGAGAATCTTGATCGAGTGGCTGGTCGCGGCTGCAATTAAGTAGTTCCTCGCGCGCCTCCTCAAAGTCCAGCCCGACAGACCAATCACGGGCTTTTCCATGTTCCAGTCCATGTACATAATCGCATCCATGGACTTGAGCCCGCTCTCCTCCATAAGTAAGCCCATCCACGGGTTTACCCTTACCGCCGACTGTACGAATACGTCTCTGATCTCGTACATAGCACTTTCGTGAATCAGCTCCACGAACTGGTCTAGGCTTTGGTACATAAACCTCATCTTGCACAACCTATCGTTCTGGATGACGCACAAGGGGATAAGCCACGACTTATCCTCGGGGAGGCGCTCGAGCGTTGATGTATTTATGTATTTAGTCAACTCCGTGAACTCGATGTTGCTCAGCCCCATGTCGCTGCATCTCTGCCAGGCGTTCGTCGAGATGTTGCTCTCGCTCATATCCGTGACGCGATAAAGAAGACTGCTTCATATAAACTTAGGGTCTCAAATATCGATAGGCCCAAACTCTTCTTTTCGTACGTTACTTATATATTGTCGATTTTTTGAAGAGTTGACGATTTGGGTGGTTCTGTGGGTGTAGCTTGCGAAGTAGACATGCGCTTATGCACGAGGAGACGTAGGTTGGGGACTGAAGTGTTCGCCTCTCAGAAGATGCTTTCGTCTAGCCTGTTGTTGACAACGGAGCCTAGGGAGAAACGAGGTACGACCGTCGATCTACTCAGAGTCAACCTCCAAATAGAACCTGAAAAGGTGGGAAGATAGTTTGTCGAGAGATAAGAAGGGTAGTGAAGTACTAAAACCTGGGCGAAGGAGAGAGGTTTGAGATATATATTAATAAGTACTTTCATCAGAGAGGACAACTCCGAAAAATCTCTGAACTAAGAAGAGGGTTATGACGGTTTGCCCACCATATAATTTTTGGCATACCTTTCCATGGTTATCAAAATGGGTTAGTACCAAGAAAGTCAACCTGTAACTTTTACTAACAGTGCTCCTATGATTGGGGCATAGCCTGCTTGGGTAGAATATTTTTATTATAGATACAGCATTCTCGGATTTTTAGAGTTAGATCGATAGTTTAGCGAACGGCTGCTGGCAAATCGATAGAATGAAAGTGTTGAACCTCGGAACAAGGTTCGCTCGATATCACTCAATTACGTAGATATCTATTCAGCGTGAATGACAGGGTGGAAAGTCCTACCCGAGGCTCGGTATTTTGGCTCTCATGACTGAGGCGTTCCTGACTCATTATAGACCAACATTCAGCTGCTTCTCATAATTGTGGCAGCATCATCTTTGTCAGAGCTATGGAGAAAGACTGCTTTTAGCAATCATGGGGAGTTTAAAAGACTAATGCGCATTATAAACAGGATGTCATTCGCTGTGGGGAATGCACCTGGAATTAACAGTATCAATATTGCAACGTCCCGTATACTCGGAGACTGGAAAAATGCGGGGCCTGCTTTAAGCGCATAATACATAGCCCGGTCAACCTATCGGAAGCAAGTAGCGGCTTGTAAATGATTTACATCTTTCATAAAATCGTGCACCTTTGTCAGGAACTAAATACCAAGTTCACCTACCAAGAAAGCTCCTCAGCATCAGAAAGAATAAAAGAGTCGTTGTCGGAAACTGAGTATGACCCTAAAATTCGACGGGGCTCGAGACACCCATTTTACGGTCTGGTTAGTCGCCCCGACTGCTTGACGTGCCCGACTCTCGTCCAGACTCGGACTCTCAAGCGGGATCGTGCAGTTCAGTCTAAACGGACTGATACCGGCATCGAGAGCGTCCGAATCGTTCATGATTGACGGCATTTGTCCGTTGAAGGCATTGAGGAACGGGCTGGCATCCGGGAGGGATGTGTCTGGGTCGTTCATAGTCTCGTTCATGAACCACTCAAGTTTCGATTGAGCGAAGAAATAGGATGTTCGATCAGCGTTTCGGCGCCAGCTTGTCTATGACCCAGGGTCACCGTGCCTTCTTGCTGCAGAAGGTCGCTGTCTGTTATTACCATAGCACCAGCCGACATCGAGGTGGCAGCTATGAATCTCAGCCACTGCCACAATGAGTGCGAACCGGAAGAACTCTTACCATACATGCACGGCGCTGTTCCTGCATTTTCGAAAGATTGAGAGAGCGGGGTCGTATCCTGACCTGCCATCCCGAGGTATCTCCTGCTCATCCTCCGGCCTGATATTAACCTCAGTTTCCCAGGTATCAGCGCTTGACGCCAACATGTCGGAGCGAGAAGGGCTCCCCAGCAGATTCGAACTTATGACCAATTCCGTAGGGCCGGCTTGTGTGCTCAACCCCCTCCCCCCCGGTCTCCTCCCCTGGTGGTTGCTGGTATCGTCACTTTCGTCTGTTGATGTTGTCCGCCTCGCGTTCCTAGGCTCAAGACTGGCAGAGTGGGTCCTAGGTCCATCGTTGGAGTTTGCGGCGGGTTCCAAGGCATCAGCCGGTATTCATCGCGATTTCCCCTTTTGTGATCGTGCCTTTTACGGGTTCCGTCTCTTTTTGCCAGCGTCTCTAACGATATAGCGCGGGATTTCTATATGCAGATTGGTCACCATGTACTGCGCGTAGTTATCAGCCTTCAATTGTTGGACAAAGTTTCGGAGACCAAGGTCAAGAATTTTCGTAGATGTGTCTGCGATTTGTGGACGGATGTGCCTGTCACCAAGACTTCCTAAATCAGCCAGTGGCATCAGTAAAGGTAAATAACACTTACTTGTTACACCATTATCTGTTAAGTCAGGAGGAAGTGGAAGCACACAGCCCTAGTCCTCCAAGAGCATCTAACCGCATCAAGATGTTAGACACAGCCTTTCTACGACCAGGAGGGGGGACAACAAAGAGGGGCAGGTGTGCCGACCCGCGCAAATCCTACAAGCGCAAGACGGGCATGGCTGAACACGTGACATGATAAGTGGTGATCAGGGGGGCTCAGTATGCTCAGTACTGAGCGGCACTGAGCGGCACTGAGCGCAGGTATTATATATACACCCTCATTTCTCTCTAGATAGTTACACTCTCTCCGTAGCCAATTCATATGTTAGCTATTGACTATAGTCCTCAATAGTCCTTAGTAACATTGACTGTTCATACCTTGCGTTATCCCCAACCAGCGCACGCTATTCAAGGGTTGTTACCGAGGATAGCCTGCCCGGCTAGTACTTAGCGGCAGCTCTAACGCTGTAGTTGTGCAATCCTGAGCTCAGCTTGGCGATCCTACGGTGTCCCCTGAGTAGCGCGTGAGACCAGTCCTGAGCTAGCAGAGGGTCCCATAACTTGGCCCCTAGGTTCCCGGTTTTTGGTGTTTCACATATACGGAAGTTCCAAGTTTCGGGCTCCCTCGGTTATTATTGCCAGGAGTTCCTGAGAGACACTTCTCAGGCCACACTGCTGCCTGGAGGAGCCACTTCTGGGGAAAGCCGTCTCGGAGATGTTTGCAGTGTTTGCAGAGTTTTATCTTGTTTGCTAAATGAATACGGCGGTTATCCGAGGCTAATCGTGCTGCACCTTTGATACAAGTACAAGTACTGGGTAGACACAGGTTCGGCATACTTTCCCTTTGAACCCCTTCCATTCGAGAACTGGTCTAAACAATCTGCGGTTGTCAAGGGGCTCAATTCCTGCGAATGCGGACTCTTACCTTCCTCCTGCATTTGCAATGCCCGTGACGCTCCCCCTTCTGCGCGAAAATATCACATATGATGAGGCCAGACATAGAGAGACAAACATCCTTCTCCATCTAACATATCCTAGAGCGCAACTCGACTTCTACAACTTCATTAACAGGCGCCAAAAGCTAATCCAGGAACGAGTCGCTCATCATCTTGGCTTACCCTCTCCTTCGCTGTGTCGTGTCGCACACTGGTCTGATTGGATGAGTGGAAGCTACAATTTATGCGTTCCGGTGACTATCGCCGACTTGAAACGAGTCCTCATTCGATTTCCGCTGCCTTACCGTGTCGGTGATAAAGTACACCCCGGAAATTGTGATGAAAAGCTTCGGTGTGAAGCTGCAACCTACGCATGGATGCATGACGAATGTCCAGATGTGCGCATCCCTCATCTCTATGGATTTGCGCTTTCAAACGGACGATGTGTATGTCACTTTTAGCCTCGGGCGCAGAAGAAAAGAGCTAACCGGCTTTCATTAGTTTACCGCAGTTGAGCACCGCCCTCTTCTTGTCCGCTTGTATCACTACCTTCGAAGTCAGTTCTTGTCTTGCCTTGGTCGTCGTGTCCCTTCCAATCTGGTTCCACATCGAAGCGGCCTGTCGAATGAGTTGGGCGGATACCTAGTCATTGAATATATCGACCAGGAACAAGGGCAAATGCTGTCAAAGACCTGGGAGACCGGTCGGATGGATGATCGACTCAGAAAGAATCTATTTCGCAGTCTGTCACAAGTTATGCTGAGAATTGGCCGAGTCTGTTTCCCTCAGATTGGGTCATTTATCATCGACGACCAAGGATTCATACGGTTGAAAAACAGACCTCTCACCCTGGAGATACAAGATTTGGAGAACAGTGGAATTCCCATTGGAATTCCGAGAGACCGTACCTACAATACTGTCGACTCCTATGTCAATGACCTCCTGTCCTGCCACGATAAGCGCTTATGCTTTCAACCCAATGCGGTCCACAACGGGGCGGACTGTGCAGCCCAGATGTCTGCTCTGACAATAATGAGAGCAGTACGTCCAGAATTCTTCAGACCCGAGCTTAACCATGGACCTTTTTGCGCTCGGTTGACGGATATGAACGCCAACAACCTAATTGTGGATGAGAATTGGAATATCAAATGTCTCATTGATCTCGAATGGATGGCAATTCTCCCTCAAGAATTCATGCAACCACCGAGTTGGTTAACGAGTCAAGCTGTGGATGAGGTGGATATTGAAGAATATAACAAGCTACGAGAGGAGTTTATGGCTGTCTTTGAACAAGAAGAAGAATGTCTACGCCAGGTGGAAAGCGGGCTACGCTATTCGCCGACCATGAAAACCGGCTGGGGAATTGGGACTTTCTGGTACGTACTCGCTCTGAGGAGCCCTACTGGTCTCCACTCCATCTTTTACGACAGAATCCAGCCGCGATTTTGTAAGGAACACAACGACGATGTGCACTTTTTCACATCCACTTACCCATATTGGACAAGTAACGCGACTGCGTTCATGAAGAGGAAGGTCCAGGATACAGAAATATATGACAAGAAGCTTAGAGAAATGTTCCAATCGACCCCGCATTGCTAACTAAATGCTCTTCTGTCCATCGTGGCTTCATTTTGTCGTTCCACCAATCCCTGATCTGTCAATGTCATTTCCGCCTGTTTCGGCAGATGTAACTGTCACTTTCTCCATTGCTCTGTCAACCGCTTCTTCCAATGCCCCTACCGCCTTTTGCTTCCTGACGTTTTTGGCTGCCTCAGCGGAAGATGAAAGTTGGTTATACGATTTCGGGTCTATCTTCACACCGACGGTAGCGTCTTCAATAACGGGGTCACCGTAATTTTCCGAATTGATAGAGGGACCCGAATTTCGGTCCGGCATTGGGGGCAAAGCCTTTCCTGCCTCGTATCAGCCACGTCTTCGAAGGAGAATGAATATGTCATTACTTGGCAATTGAATGTCTTTGTATATAGCTCAAAGGACGGAAAATTTGTTTTCCAAGGAGATTCTTAGCTATTGGGTACGAAGGGAAGATAGAATAGGCCGTGGCAGTCGAAGATTTGCTGCAGGGCATATTGGAACTTGTCTAGTATAACATTCAAAGCCAAAGAGCGGATGCCAGGCCGAACACACTTATCCGTTGAAGCGAGGAGTGATGGGCAAGGGGTCGACGTGGCAGAGTTAGCAACCACGAGAGAGCCCTCCTCGCAGCAAATCTGCCAAGCAATCTAGCTTACCCCTCCTTCCCCTCTCTTGTTATTCCTTAATCCTTGCCTTAATTCTTCAATCTACTCAGGTCCTCCTTCAATCCTTTCTCCTCACTTCTCGCCTACTACGAAAATGACTCCTATCGCGGAGTGTCTACTAGAACATGTCCTTGGACGACTAAATGATTTGAAACGTTTATCAAAAAGTTTTCTGCAGGCATTGGAGAATGTCCGGGCAGCTGAAGAGGGCTCTACCGGCAAGATATTCTTAAATGCGGGCTACGCGGCTTGCATTGGGTATGCCCTTGCAAGAGCTGCTGTTGATAACAAGGACACGTTTGATGGCAAAGCAGTTTTGCGTTCCCGTCTTGAAGAACTCGACAGGTTATCACCAGACGTCCGACAACTGATATGAGCGGAAGTTGCGAGCCGAATAAATGCCGAAGCACAACCGCAAATCCAGAGTCTTCAACCAAGATTGGAAGAAATAATGTCGCAGCCGCCAGCTAAGAGGCTTTGTCAGTAATTCCTGGCATTCGCTTTTCCTTTCTTCTCACTGAATCAAGGTACGACACACGACATTGACTCTGGACCTGTCTCATCCAGCCCACCCGAGAACTCAACCAGGACAACTGTGGATTTCTCTCTTCTCGAGGAGACTGCATCTGGACAGGGACAAATAAACCCGGTTCAGAAATTATCTTATTTCCTACAAGACCATTACGTGGTGGTAGACGCGTCCCTCCGGGCAGCTACACGTCTTTTCCCACCGCTCCTCTCAGAGGCCATCAGAAGAGACCCGCATCCCAAGAACCAGAATATGTGCGTTGCTGCTATCGATATGAGATTTCCAAACGCTCCAGTCATGTACAAGTCAGGGTGTGAGATGGCAATAAAGATCACGGAAGACAAAGTGGAGCACCTTGCGTCTGAGAAATTTGATGTCCATTTACGAACAACGTAAGGGCTCCGGTTCCTCTGTTTGGATGACGGCACCAAAGTTCTACCCTATCCGAATCTTACCATTCGAGGATGCCGACACGAAAAGATTTTACCCATCTTTGGCTCAGAAATACATCGTGCAGTCATCGCAAGTCCTGGCTACCAGGATGAAGTCAAACAGGCACGCGTTCGCACAGACAGCATCTCGATGCCAATTCCACATCAAGCTTCGTATGGATCAACGATCCTAGTATCTCTTGGACCGAAGGAAGGAACCTCAATCAAGATTACATTGTATGAGTGAAATGAATTCGTGTATACCCCTCGTGATACCTTCTGGGTACTCTCATCATTGCTTCACTTTTCCTCCCCTGCCGCTTAAAAAAACTTCAGTTCCTTTCGGTACTGTCTCTTGCCCATCGCATCTTGGCTCCGTCATTGTGGGATTTTGCACATTGCCATTCTCGTAGACTTCAACATTGTAACCTTGCCAGTATATTCTTTGTCCCTTTCCTATGATCCATTGCGGAGAAGTCTGTGCATCTTCAAAATCCACCGATCGACTGAGAGGCTCGATTGTGAACGTCTAACGAAATAAAGTCAGTCAGGGTTTCGGACTGTGGGTAGAGGAACGGACCATCGAGGAAGGCGAATACGTCCTTGTATGGAAGAGATTGCCTTGGAAAGTGCGATCCTCGTGAATATCGAAATCTTGAGGCGTGCTAGGGCTCCTATGCCTGTTTACAAAGATGATTTCATTTGAATGCCACATTCTTTTGATAATTGCAAAGCATCTGAAGGATTTGATCCTCAGTTGTCCAAAAGGGAGCTTGGTACGAAAGTGAGGAGACTGCGAAGAAAGAGGATAGAGGAAAGGGTTCTGAGTACGTGTCTTCTGTGCAGCGGTCCCAAATCTACCCAATCAAGTCAATTAAGTCGGGCATGGATGCCCAAGCTAGTCGGGATGGCACTCACAGAGACGAGGGGAAGAATTCCAGGAGTAGTACGGGATTAAATGGAGAGGATTAAGGGAGAGGATTAGATGGAGGATTAAGAGGAGGGAGGATTAAGAGGAGGGAGGATTAAGAGGAGGGAGGATTTCTAAACATATGTCCCGGAGGTGGATCGCATGGGTTAAATACAATCTCCTCTCCGTGTCTGTTTCCGTAGGTCTTGTGACTCCCTTGTTTAAAGGCTTCAATCCTCCCGGGATTAGTGTAGAGGTTCCGTTCTCGGGCGAAGATATCATTCAACTGCGGGTGGTGTGGTGTAGACTCTCATTCATGTCGTGAGTCGAATCTTCATGCGAGGGAGGGATTTAATCGTCGCAGAGTAGAAGAAGCGGAAGAAGATCATCATCCGGCGTCAGCCAACACTAGGCCATTTTTCAGTCGTTGCTGAACATCATTTCTTTTTTTTCTTTCCATCCCCTTTTTGTGGTTGAGTCATGGACTAGGTCTAGTTTGTGGTGCTGCGGGATGCTGTTGCAATCAGGCCAAGGCTTCGTGATCCGCTGCAGGTCAACACCGCATCTAGGAATCGAAGTAACCCGCTATCGGGAGATACTTGCCGAATCTTCTGCGAAGCACCTGCCTGGCCTTTATGCGCACCCGGTTTAAGAAGTTGAGAGGCAGCTCTTGGACCAGTGTCGGCGCCGGATGATTGACAACGAATCGGCCAAGTAGGAAGTTGAATGGCTCTCGGGCGCTATAAGGACGGAAGGCCGAAAAATAAAAGTAGCCAGCTCCAATCTGTAAGGCCTGGTTGAAACCATCCTCGTACGAAGTCGAGTGCGGATTGCCGTCCGACATGGTCGCAACTAAGGCAACGAGGCCCCTTCGGCGGTTGGCGTACTCTTGGATAAAACTGAAGGTTGGCACGGACATAGAACTGAAGACGAATATCACGGCGTCGCAGTCGGGAATCCAAGAAGGGTCGCTCTTGGTCTCGATAATCTCCACCATAATCGATTCAGTCTCGAGCTCGACCAATTTGCTATAATGGACCGCGTATCGGTGCGCATCAAGAACTCGGCCAAATATATACTGCATCGACAGTTAATAGACCGTGGGCCCCTCGGGGCGAAGAGTTCCTTTACCTGGTGGATGAAGGTTGTTTTGCCAACTCCCGAGGCGCCAAACACCCCAATTCTGAACCGACTTGTTGTGTTCATTTCGTTCTTTCTTTCTTTTTTCCTTCGTCCTATGCTACACACCGAATGCTTGACTGAATCTGTTTGTAAGATGAGACCGAGAGGGGGAGGGGCGGGCTCTCCGTCTATATCTATATAAGGGAGAGAACGGCCCAACAATGAATATGTCGTCCGTCCGCTAGTACAGGCCTGTAATGGGGAAAATTGGTTCGTCCAACTTTCGGTCAAGGGTGGCGTAGAGTCTGAACAGGGTACACTATGGTAAGTTGGAGTCGATCCAAGATAATCAGACTGGAAAGTTCCTGCGCAGACGTACAATGGCCCTTGACGATGCCATGTAGTGTCCGAGCTTGAGACAAAAGACAGCTGTCACAAGGTGGAAGGTGGAGATGAGGCTTAATTAATTGAGCAAGAGCTGCCAGAGCAGCTTCCCGATCAGGCGGATGTCACTTCTCTAGGGACCACTGAGTATACCCTTGAACATACCCTTCAGTGCGTAACGAACACTCCAAAGGTAGAACAAGAGCTCTCCATAATAATCTAAGTTGAGAGATATCGTACCAGTACCTAAGAGTAGTGGCGGAAATCTGCTTCGAGGGTCTTGCCGGAGAAGGCATAGACGTTAGCAGCCATGCAAGGTTTCCAAAAGTTCAATATCCGGAATATTAACTCAAATCTCAGCAACTCCAGTACTGTAGCATCGGGTTTTGAGAACATTGTTTTTGGTTGCGCTGGGCACTTTGGGAAAGCGAGGGATAAACTTCGATGGCAATGGTGGTATGAGATCCGTGGCGGGAACAACAGCCATCCGAATATTGTCGTTTGGCGTTAGGATAGTTGGGCTAGTTGACGCGCTCTGCACGTCAGGCAATCTGGAAGATGTCGCCCAACACCTTGATCTCCGGGAAGTGGAGATCCGAAAGCTAGGCATCAGAACTCGTCCATTTGTTGACAGTTGGTTTATGGGGACTGGCTTGAGCTTTGGTCCGCTCATACACCGTTTTGAGCAGCAACATTTGCGGCTGGGATCACCAAGTTGTGTTTCAAATCATCTTTCTCGAGTTGGTCTATTGCCACAGTCCCTCGTACGCAGTAGCCTAATTTTGGGCATGCACAGTGCTGCTTTTGGCCGTCGAGGCTGCAGCCAAGGCCCCTAGGGAGCGCCACTCAACGCAGCAAAGTTGGGTGGCGCGGAGATAGCCCGTTGCAAAGCACATGATACTGTATCTAGCTAAGCATGGACACAGAGATTGCAATGACTCGGACATCCCACTGTTCACGGAGGTCGAACAAGACTTCTCGCTACCCGGGCTGGTTGGCATCTACTGGGGTTTTGGCATTCATTTTAGAGACCCGGGTGAATGCTTGCCGTTAAGGCTCTCAATCAGCCCATCTTTTTTGACCGGCCCAATCAACTTTAAGCAGTGTGTCAAGGTAAAAGACAATGCCGTCGTCATCGGGAGCGCCATCGTTGAAATCAACGTCTTTAGCTGAAACAAGAGTCGATCTCGGGGGAGCTCGGCCTATAGGTTAATGGAAATTCCTATACCCATTGAGTTTATTTGTCTTTTCCGGGGAGGGCTGATTAGATCGAGATGACGACGTGAGGGATAGTGATCCTGGGTGAACTTCGGAGAATTGCATCACGGTCGACGGGAGGGCCAGTCTCCCAAACCAATATCGGACTATGTCCACACCTATATACTCGGTCTTTATATCGGATTCTCAACTTTAGCTTTGTCGTCCAGTCATGTCATATTCAACCGTCTGTGCTTCAAGAGCTGAAAGGACTTCGTCACCCCCTAGAATCAAAGCTTTTGCCCCGTAGGAAATGCAACCCAGTCGATAGGGTCAGTGTTGGTCTTCAAAAGAAAGCCGGCTGCCCCCAGCTAGACCTCCCTAGTCCTTTGCATCCATCCCACTAGCGGATCTTAATCATCCTTTACTTAGCTAGCTACATCATTCTCGTCGCGTCAGGGTTCGACAGAGGGCATGTGCCCCCAAGCCCGATCTGATATCACATTTCGATGTTGAACAAGCCTCTTCGGGTTCAGGGAGAGATATATCCTTCGGGCGGTGGGTCCCCCCTTTTGGACAGGGACGATCGGCTCGATGCTGGTGACTACTGGATTCCAAAAGCCAGGGAAAAGACAGCGGCCCCCCCTTTTTTGCACATCAAGCTTTGAATGCCCAAAACCTATCCATACCGGCTGTGCATGCCTGCCAAAAAGGTGACGTAGCCTGCAGTCAAGATCTCACGGTTCAGGCGAAAGGACAACAGTTTTCTCCAACGGCTTTCACCTGGTGACTTGTCAACTCCTTTCTGGGCCAGAAGCATAATGTGCGATCATATCTAGCAGTCCCCACTCCCCTTTCGGTAGATAGTCCTTTGCGCACAACCCCTTGCTCTCTCCTTTCCGGTAGTTCGACATGATCTTCCTCCCTATGGCCCGTTCAGCTCATCAGCCGCCCCAGATCGACCGAGTGGTGCAATAGTCACCGAATGGTGATTACATCCGTGGAAACAGCTCTAGTGCTCCGCTTTACCCGACAGCCTATGGAAAGACCAACTTCTCAGAGAAACGCGCTTTACTCTCCTTCTTGGGTCACATTAGAGTTAGTCCTTAAATCGACACAGGACAAGAGGACGTCTTCTGGATTTGTTACACCGATGATAGAGGAAATTACGCCGGCTTTAATCCTGAGAAGGCGGAATGCACCGTCTCTGCGGAAGAGGAAGTCCAAGAACGGCCTGGCACTTCATATAATTCGCTGTTGTATAGTTTATGTCCGTCCAAGAAGAGTATTAGCCTAATTAAAGCCTCTGACAAACTCCAGCGCTTTCGCCACCATGAAATTCTACATATTCCACCATTCATCTATTGTTCAAGTGCTCGAATATCATCCGGGCACGAAGAAATTTTCCGGATGGCGCGTGTCAAGAATGATTGAGAGACTGACGCCCGGGGATAACGCCCTCGTCATAATTTGCTGGCATTCATCACTGGTAATAAAACCAGCAGTATTGAAATCCAAAGGACAGATATCCTCATTTTCATCGAGTGCTGAACACCGACCATGACCGCTGTAATAAAAGATCAAAGAATCTCCAGGTTTAGCATCCTTGACCAACCAGGTTATTGCCCTCAGTATATTGATCTTTGTCGGTTTGGAAATCTCGCGCCGCTGGTCGTCAGTCAATATGACCATATCTTTTTTGTCATATCCGAAACAAAGGTTGAGATATGCAGCCATGTTCTTGACGTCGTCAACACAGCCGCGCAGCTGTCCACGTTTGTTGAAATAGTTGATGCCAACTAGCACAGCCTTCTTTTCACCCCGAACACCGAATTTGGAGCCCGTGCAGTAGTATGTTGGAGGCGCCGTTGGAGCAGGAAATGGAGTTGTATGTAGGTCTATGTAAGGGGATGGAAACGTTTTTGGCCGCTGTTCCAATGGTTGCATCGGAGTTAACTCAACGTCGCCTATGATATTCGATCCTTTTAAAGTAGAGCAAGTGGGAAACTAGGGACTTGCCCGCTGGAACGGGAAAGGAGTTTGAAAGGTAGAAAGAGGTACTGTCTGCCTTAACTCTTGATGCTGTAAGATGGGGAAGGCCTAGTGTTCCATAACAGTCTGCCGACGTTTGAAGGCCTCAGTTGCGCTCAACACACTATGCTAAATGAAGAAATGATCGCATCCGGCCCAGGCTCCAATCCATTCGAATCTATACAGCAGACCCTGGCTTAATTCTGTCCAATTACAGTCGTTTGCAGTTGCAGCTTCACCTTTGCAGACACACTCAATTATTTGCGCCTCATATTTCTTTAGCAGCCTTAAGATCTAGGCTAAATACGTTCAAGCATTGGTTAACCTACAGGCCGATCCGGCATGAATTTCATTTCGACCGAATACATCGATTTACATGATAATACGGGTGTCGTCTGACTTTTGGACCAGAAATCGTGGACACTTGAAAGCGGCAACGAATCACTGAATCCTGCACTGTGCTGTGCGTATGCTTGTCTCTTTCCATGCCTATGGCGCCACCAGCGCGTGGACGTGCCTCAACCTTTGTCTGTCATCCATCTCTCACACCTGCTGGAGCTGTCTCTCAGCCGGCCTACGCCAAACGGAAGCGCTTGCAAAACTCTGAAGCTGAAGCCAATGACGCAGAAAGACGTGCGCTTTTCAAGACACCCTCGAAGAAAACGTCCCTCCGAACTCGAGCTCTTAGAGGAGCAATTGCAAGCAAGGATGCCCGTCTTTCTCCCTATCAGCCAAGGATGAGTTTCTCGATATCCTCGTCCTGGGTAATCAGGTCACCGTCCTTGAGGTCCTCATTTCCCTCTCTCCAGCGCCATCTCTTTCCCATGATCTCTTTAAACCATTTGACTTGAATCTCTCCAGCGAGGATCTTGTCCGAAAAGTTGACGGCCGGCATCCCTGCAACCATGGGTTTTAATGCGACGTTGAGATCTGGAGCAACAAACAGGACGGCGCTGAGTCTTCGCGTACCCGGTTGGCGGCGGACTCGATGTCTGACTGCGTTGAGTTTGCCGCCAGAGATAATATGGGCACACCAGCCGCAGAGGACGACTGTGGCATCGGCAGGGATGGGTTGCCAAACACCGGGATTGGCTGGATCTTCGATCTCGAGGCCCTGAATGCCGTCTTGGAAGATGATGGTGAATGTGCCGTAGTCACGATGGGCACCGCAGCCGTTCTCGCTGGTGGCACTCGCAGTGTCGGGTGTGTAATCACACAGGCGGAAGTTGACATTGTGAGATTTGTGAATGGCGCCGAGATCGACATTGATAGTGGCAGAAAGAGCCCCGAGAATGGAGTCCAGGTAGGTTCCGGTGACGGCATTGAAGAAGTCTAAAACCTCGGTCAATCCATGAGGCATCAAAGCAGCCTGAAGATACGCCGGAATATGAGAGATGCGATTTGGAGAGAGATCGATGGTGAGCTTCTGATCCGAGATGGGGTTGGTGGTTGCTGCGTTCTTGAAGATGCCGCGAGTTGGGTAGACCTGGTTCAAGCGGGCAGCAACAGCAGGATTGGCCCGCAAGTAGTCAAAGAGTTTACCGATGGCAGCAAACGGGACTTGGACATTAGCTTGAAGGATGGCGATATCAGGCAACACCGTAGGAACTTGGAGCGGCTGGGGCTTTACTAACACCTTACTGACGACGGTCGTTGATGGTAGGGAGACGACTACTGTCGTTGCCATGTCTAATTGATCACCTTTCGAAAGCGTTAAGAAATGGTGTGATCCTGCCGACATTCAAGAAGTCGCTTAAAGTCCAAGAGAGATGAAGACTTGAAGATCGAATTGAAGAAGAGCAATGATGAGGTCGCCACAAGGTCGAAAGGCAGGCGCTGCAGGCTGGCGGGGTGCATCCCTTGTTGGAGAGGTACGTGGCGAAAAGGCGAGTTGGGCATTCCCTCCTCCTACCCCACTTCTGCCCATCTTGTGGGCATTGCTGTGTATCCCGTGCGGCACCTCTTTTGACACAAGAACCAAGACAAACGACCCGAGCAAATATACTGTTCTAGACACGCTCACAAGGGGACAGCATTTCAATTGTTAAAGGTGAGCATGCATCCCGAACAGCAGAGCTCAACTGATTGTGTCCTTGCGAATTGCGAAACTATCTTCGATCGACCCGTAACCATCCTTTGCCAGAAAGAAGCCGCTTTCCCGAAGTATATCGCAGTAGCTGCAGGCCTTTCAGAACCCCAACCAGAGTCTGGTCGACGCTTCTCCATATTACTCAGTAGCGGTGCCTGTAGCTCTGCATCGTCGTCGGTAGAATCACTCTTGTGTCTCAGTGCAAAGCTGCTGCAGCGCTGCTTCACTACGGCTGATGGCGTGGCGTATTTGCGGACAGAGAACCTGGACGTCTTGGACGAGGACGGTCCAGGCCATGTGGAGTCAAACAGCATGGCATCCTTCTTAGATCAACAGCTGAATACAAACAGGACTCCCGCCCTCTACGGAGACAACCGAGCCGACGTTGGCGAATACCGCAATACTCAGCGGCGAATCTTGACCTCTCCAAAGTCCATTTCCGTTTCCAGACCTGAGCATCCCGCCATTTGACCTGAGCCATGACCTAGCCACTTCTGAGCTGTGGCTGAGCAATCCTGAGCACGACTTGGCGAGCCCTGAGGCGTACTCTGAGCAGCGTGAGCACAGCCGCGAGCCAGAGCCAGGGCCCACAACTCGGCCCCTAAGTTCTCAGTTTCCGGCGTTTCAAAGCTTCGGAAGGGCCTATTTCCGGGCCCACATACTCGGTTATTATTGTCAGTAGTGTTCTCAGAGTCAGCCATTTCCAGTTTGGCTGCTGCCTAGGGCAGACTCGAGTTCTTCCTTACTGGGCTGTGCGCCCAGCTGGAAAATCGCGTGTATTAGGGTAGTGGCGAATGGTCCCTGCGTTTTGTGGCCCGTCGCTCGCAGTTCCTTCATCCCAACTTTCAAAGAGCATGAAAGCATTGGAGCCATGAAAGGAGCCATCAAAGCTAGGAGCACTACGATACACCTATCGTTTCCCTAAACGATGCTACATCCACCACCATAGCCTCAGTACGACGCTCTTTCCTCCCTGCGCTTCCCGAAAAGCCCTTCAAATACACCCCGTTACCGTCGAGGGAAAGATGCTGTTCGATCTAGGACCCTTCCTGCGCGCTGCGAGATCCTTCCTCTCACTCCTCTCCATTCCGAGGGCGCTTTACACCAAATGCCTTAAAATACTTCATCGTCCAAGTAACACAGAGATTGATTCGATATCATTTGAAGCATTACAATTCCTTGCTGCCGGGAAATCAGGAATCGTCTATGGGGTCGATGACAAGAGAGTCTTAAAAGAATATCAAGAGAGCGACAGAGGCGAAGTTGAACGTCGAGCATATCACCGTCTCGGCTCGCATCCTAACATTGCAAAATTGCTGGGCACCCGGAAAGATGGTTCCATTGTTCTCGAACGAGGCGAAGTCCTTCGGACAATCTGTCGATCTCCCTCCGCAACTGAGATTCCGATCCAGACGAAATTGAGCTGGCTGAGGCAAGCTGCAGAAGGTTACCAGCATTCACATAACTGTAATATTGTTCACGGTGATGTCGGATGTAAGAATATGATTCTAACAAGAGAAGGTTGCCTAAAGATAGTCGACTTTGAAGGCTGCAGCATCGATGGTGAACCAGCAGATTCCTGTTACGAATGGTTCAGTTATCGACCATCAATACCCAGGGTGAATCGGCGCACGGACATTTTTGCATTTGGTTGTGCAATCTACGAAGTAATAACTGGAAGACCACCACACCATGAGCTCGAGGCATCAAACGACCGATATCAGCAGGTTGAACAGCTATACACAAACAATCGTTTTCCCGACGTCACATCTCTTCCTCTGGGTCAGTTAATCCAGAGCTGCTGGGATGGCGACTTCACCTCTATGAGTGAGGTTCTTCGAGAGCTAGAAACGTTTCAAGCCCATCCCATACTCGTGAAATGGAACGAGGTGTCATGAGCTTCGGGACAGGAGGTTACTCTTCTATCACTCCATAGCTACCTAATGTTATGCGAGCCAGTATAGTCATGGAAATCCTCCGATCTGCCCGTAGTATCATTTCAACTCATTTGCCATGACCTTCGCCCAAGTTCTGCTCAGACTTTATTACTATTCATAAGTGACGGAGTCTAGCCGTGTAGATCCACCTATCATTCATCGATGTTCAGAGCGCATGTATATTGATAAGAGTACGGTTAAGCTTACCCATTTGACTTGATAGATTTCAAGTGATATCCCCGAATCCCGACATGCTGGGCATGCCCCTCCTTTCCTAGAAGGGAGCTGATCTAGACCTGGGTCGTGCGTGGGATTGTCACAAGGAGGGCCTGGCTTTGGCGAATTGGCGCATCTCTTGCGCAGTCGTGTCTCTATCTTATGTTGTGGTTGCCTTGTGCACTCCCCTCGAACAGCATGGGTTATGCCGTAAGAACACATGACGAGGTATACTCGGTGACCCGTCGAAGGCAGTATGAAAGGGTAATGTACACCCGCGGAGGATTTGTTGATGGGTGAGTTGACAAATCCTGCTTGATGTTAGAATATATCTAAAGCAGGCATGTGGCATGTGACTTCATCTAGACTTGGTAGTTGCTGTTTGAAGTCTGAGGGCACACTCAGGTGTCGGTTCCTAGAGAGCTTGTCTGTTGTGTATATGTATGTGATAGCAAACCCATGCATATAGTAGAAATCGGGTAGATGGGAAGCCATCCCCTCAGTCTGTCGCTTTGCGTGCCAGGGATTTCTTTAGATAAATATATGCGTAGGTGTTTTAGTGTTTCCTACACGTTGGCTCGGCTCGCACGTAGGATGCAAGAACCCCGGACAGACTCATGAGCAGAAGTCTCAGTAGATGTGTAATGCGCTTTGACCGAAATAAGTCGATGATGTGACGGAGTCGCGATTATCGGCCACGGTTGAACACGGAAGTGGAGTTGTGGAAAAGTTCCCAGGCAAGAAAATAGTGAGTGAGGATGGCGCTAAGGCCAAAAGTGCTAAGCGTGCGCATGCAGAAAGATTCTTTCCACCCAGAACCTATCACAGCCTATGACACCCTGTGGTCACACCCTCTATCACACCCTATATCACCCTATAACACCCTATGTCACCCTATGTCACCCGCGTCACACCCTATGTCTTCTATATCATACATTGTGTTCTTTCTATGTCTTCTAATCTCTTCATACTTACCTCTCGCATTGCCATGAGCTCGAAACTTTCTCAAATCGACAAGGTCTCGAAAGATCTTAATAGGAATAAGACGGTACCCTTCGTCTATCTTCGTACCCTTGAAGAGCGCCTAGTCCTACTTTGTACCTTCTTTGAGCGCCAACCACGGAGCGCAGAGAGGCGACCAAAGAAAGAAGTTAACTCTGTTTATTGTTGCAAAAAAGCTCAAAAGGTTTATTTTGAGGTCCTCGAGACGTATCCTCACGTATTCCTTCCTTTCATTCTTGCGATCTCTCCACGCTCTTGTCTGTCCTTTGATTTGTCGCAACTCGGTCATTACAATTCACCGCCGGACGGCTTTCATTGGAGCAACAATGTCAAGGAAACCTTTGCAAGCATAGGCCAGAAACGAGAGATCAGCGAGAGCACTTATTACAAGAAAGTGATTGAAGTTCTATTCCTAAGTTGGCCTTCCACCTTTACACAAATCTTTAAGGAGAGGCTAACAGGAGCAGATTGTTGTCCAAAACCTGTCAGCACTGCAGAAGCAGATAAACATTTGGCGTATCATGCTGCTGAATTGGCCGCGATTGTCGCTATCTTCGGCAATCGTATCTACGGAGGTGTCGAAATCTCCTCCGTACGGCTAAGTGAAAAGGCTAGAAGTCGAACACTCCAAACAACAGAGAGTGTCCGAACGAAGTTTCCTCTGAGGGACCTCACTGACGGCATCATATATCTCGATATTGGATGCGCCGCTGAGTATAGCAGTGTACTGTTTCCAGACGAAGGAGATGTGACAGGAGTACCGATATCTAGAACCCGTGAGTGCACGAGCTATACAGCTAAGGGCGAGACATCTAATCCAACGTACGGTTAAACAGAGGATGATATCTATATTGTCTTGACGAGGGCTTCAATTCCAGCCATTGCTTCATTGTTTAGTCCGCGCATCTGTGGGGCAATTGAGAACAGCCAGCTACGGGCATGGGAGAAGCAGCATGACATGCTCCATACAACTAACTGTATTACGATGAGAGTGAATCGCAGGGAACCTCATCAAGGTACTTTGTGTGTGCGCATTGGGTATCTTGTAGGCATTTCGATACTTAATGAATTGTACGCGGAGCTCCAATAACCCCAAGTCACCCGTTTCGTAACTTTCCTCTGTTAATTAAAATGGATACTCCTCTTGGAACGAGCATTTCCCCTGCGCCCACTGTGGACCAAATATCCTCTCCTTTCTCATTCCGAAACATAATGTCCTGGCAATCAAAGAAGTAGTAATATCTCTCGTAGTTTTCTGCGGGGATATAGTTGATTGGGTGTCTCTTGCAATCTTTGAAAAAGTCTGGTGATACCGTGAGGGGTTTGAAGCTATTGCGCTGCGAATATGATAAGCCGGTCTCGATTTCTTTTTCGAGATTCGGAAACCACCATACCAAGAGCTCTGCTGTCACTGTCTTTTTTTCCGTCATATCAATCTAGACGGGGGACTGAGCGCCTCGTAATTGTCGACCAGAACTTCTAGATTCGATTCTCGTCTCGGTCAAAGGGTAATGGCTTTGTCTTGCCTAAAGCAGTGTCAGTCTCAAAGCCTGCATAGTTCCAATGTATATTACCGCTCTTCATTAAGTAGGTAGCCGAGATGGTTGGATTCTGACCTGAAGTATCATCGTACGGAGGGGTTTGTTGATGGCATTAATGTGAAGTCGGGGTAGCGCAGTCTTGAAATTCCTGCCCAACTGTGGCTGGAACAAAACGCCACGACATGTGGCTCACCTCAGTATCTGGGCGCTGGAATCACGTGAGTTCCTTTGTATGGGCGCCGAAGAAAGTCCTTTCCATTGTCCCGTGATATCTCTCGATGTCGCGCAAGATCTCCAAGATCACCCAATATCGCCAAATCACCCAATGTCGCCAAGATCACTCAATATCCCCAATATCACTCAATATCGCCCAATATCACCAAAAATATCCAGCGCTCCACAACTCCATGCTGGCTCTCTAGGAACTAGAGCGCGGTGCCAAACGTAAACTCCCACGAGGCTGGGGATGGATTGGCATGGATTCTTTCGGCAGCACATCTTGTTCATTCTTTGATCACAATAACTAGACAGAAAGCCAATCTAGTGCAACATCCCTAAATCAGTCCGTAACGATCCTCCCTTTCCGTTGTTCTTTGTTGGCACGTATACAATGATTAATTATCAAATCCATATCACTATCAGCCACTGGTAACCCTCAGACAGACCGTTCTCAGGAGACGTACATCATCAAGTTAGGCCCTTACTGGTGCTTTAGGACAGGAACATACATTTATACCGAAGGCGTATGGATACAGATGCGCGAGGATGCACAGTCCTGCGAGATGAAGACCTCTAAGAACAGACATTGACGTGGCCGAGGCGTTATGCACAGGGAAGGCCTACATACAGAGTATGTAGATACTAAGTCTCGGTTACGACATACACTTGATGAACGTATCATGCAAGCCAAGCCACTTCAGAATGAAGTACGTACTAGTGTAGGAGTCGGAAGGGCAAGAACCACATCCCTCATTAGTTACTGCCAATAACAATATGATCAGTTCTTACCGTTGGCCAGGGAGGGGCCAGGAACGTACAGAACCCCTTGTCGTATAAGAGGAGGTTTCGAGGAGATGCCACTTCCATTGATAGCTATATGAATCCCCTTTCCCACCTTTTCTGAAGACCTTATCCGTCCGCCTCAGCCTCAATTGGCGTCATACAGATTGGACACATTGGTCCTCGAAATATCTCCAACAATCTTCTGTAGGAGGGCTCTTCACATTTCTGTTCTTAGCGCCTCTGAACTCTTGTGCAACATGCCGGCCGACCGAAAAGACGATCCTAAGACCACTCAGAAGAAAACGGAGAAAGAGATAAACGGCACTTCTAAGCCCAGCACCGGGAAGCCCGAGAAACCGTCTAATTCAGACGGCACAGCGGGAGAGCAGAATGAACGGGAAGATGACATGGCCATGGTTCGGCCCTTCACTACGGACCAACGCAAATAAATACAGGTATCACTCATTGATTCTTTTCTTAAAACTTCTGCTTATCGGATTATAGAGTCTATGTCTGTGCCCTCTGATGTGTTCTACATCCTAGCGTTTCGCAAGTACTAAGTGGTGATATTAGCTCTGTCTATATTTTCGGAATGGGAATGTGCTTAATATGGCAGGGATGTTTTGAAGTTTCTATGGCGGTATGATGCAAATTATCAATGATAACAATCGATGTAGATATCAGGGACCTACGCAACGCAGTAGGTACAAAGGAATTGGAGTAGCTGAATGCCTTGTTCTATTCACGTAGCCCTATTGACAACGACTCAACGCTTGAGAAAAAGGAAGAGTTCTCTCTCAGCCGATTCAGGTGAGAGGAGACTCTTATAGCTTCCCCTCTTTCTGTCACGTGAAAAGGGTAAGGCAGCGTTAACCGATAGCCTTGTGCCTCAACCGTCCTTTGCCTTATCCTTTCCTTTTCTTTCTATACCGTCCACCCGATTCGGGTGGAGGGCGTAGAGTACTTGGGGACAACGGTGGGTTCGTGACAGTAGATGTATAGCTGAGAGAGTCACAATACGAAGCCACATTCCGTCGCAGTCCATGTAGCTTGCCTTCATCTTGAGAATACCATTAATCTAGCTATTTCCTAAGAGTTTTGAGAACCTATAAGCCTTATACGTTTCGATAGGTGCTTTATTCTTAGGCTCAATCGATACCGGTTGGCAGGAGTTCGAGGTGCGTAGCAGCAAAAAGGGTT